AAGTACGAGTGCCCAAAGCGCGATCTTCACCATGGAAGGGACCGCGGGTACGAAAGCAGGCGAATTCTCACAAAATTATTGATTAGGGTAAAATTTGAAAACTCTGGAACTTTTCGAAAGAATCAGATATTGCGGAAAGGAAATACTTTTAATGATAAGGGCGGTTTTAGAGTCCACTCGTCGAAAAACTTTACAGATTTTTACACTTTAGTGCTCACCTTTTAGATTTCAATGGCTCACGGAATATTTACTTGATAGGTTCCGATAAAAAAATTCAAAGCTGGTCCGAGAATTGAGAGTGTGTAGTATTTTGAAAATTTCGAATAGAGTCGTGTTAGGAGCAATCTTGAGCTGTTCCTGCTTAAAAATTGATTCCAATTTTATTTGCAGAGATGAAACATACGTCATGAACTCGTTCAGCGAAACTCTTCACATTTTTTGGAGGAAAGCAGCCCCCCTCCCCCTTAGGAAAAGCGAAGAAATGGTACATGTAAAAATGCAGTGACGAATAATTGTAACCGTTTTATAATTGGACTGCATTTTGCAATTTGGAACTATAAATTCTGGCCCGGTTTAAAAACAACGCATGTGCCACTAGTATCCCTATGCACATAAGTGTTTTTTCAGATGAGCCAGAATTTATAGTTCCAAATTGCAAAATGCAGTCCAATTGAAGGTGCTATATTTTCGTGTATTCCTTTCGATCGAGAATTATGTGGCCTAAACTAACTTCATCGTAACCACACAATTGCAATGGTCCGTTCCGAGTTGTTCTTCGTTTAAACCGCAAAACATTAAAAAAAAAAACTACTCATTCGGTGATCGACGGCCTTGCACTTAGAGGCCGTTATCCGGAAGCTCCATGAAACTCACACTCTGTTTTGATAATGGACTAAGATGATTTCGATTCCGGCCTCTTCAGGGCCGAAAAAAGTATCGTCGGGGCCCGTCGTACGCGCACGGAGGTTCGTTTCGAAAAAGAGGGAGGGCGGCCTAATTAGAGAATCTTGATATGAAAGTTTGCGCGCATCAAACACGAAGTTAATTGTAATGAGTGGTTGTTGGCCTGTTATACATTTATCTCATGCGGGTCTTAATTCCCCGCTGGACGCATCCAGCGATGCCATACCGCAGCTTCTCACTCCCCGAAGGAGCATTTGGTCGATGACGTCATCTGTTGTCGAGGGCGTCCATATATATTTTATGCATTAGTAACTTGAGATAAAATGGTGATGGTTACATCACATCAAAAAAAATGCGTATTTTCATTGCAGCTGAGGACAATATTCATTCATATTAGAGACTTTGAAATGTGTCGATTATGTGTCCAAAACGCAACCACGGAAACATGTTGAAGATAGCACCTAAGGCTGTCTTGCCTAACACTAGCCTAACCAGTGTCGGTCTGGCTCAAAAATTCTTGGGTTGCTGATACATTTTGGGGGCCACTCTTTTCGGGAGGTTTCCTCTAACTAACCTAAAATCCTCCTCTATGAGGATTTTCCAACTTTTGGGGACCCTGCCGGAGCCCCCAAAGCCACCCGTCAGAATTTTTGTGGTACCAGGGCCGGATTTACCTACTTGCCGCCCATGGGCCGCCTGTATTTTTCCGCCCCCTTTTCATTCGTTTTGAAACATCAATAGATCGTATTCGACAGTGGTTCGATGTATCGTTTGGTTCAAAACAATAGAACATAACCTCATTCAAAAATTTTAGGATTCAATTTGGAAAAGCTGAAAATGAGAAAATTCCTAAAAATTTCACTTTTCATTGCCATTTGGTACTCGAGAGAATAAAAATTCGATCACATAAGACCCGTTACATATTGAATCAATCGATATCAATATAATCTCACCTGTGTGATCTGTCGAGTACGATCTATAAAGACCATCAAGTGAACGTGCCGGTGGGGGAGGGGGAGGAGTGTACGAGACGCGTCTACTTGTGTTGGACACATTTTTTTTTGAAAGCCTTGTCAACACTGACAAAAGTTCAGTTCCGTAAAACCATCCCTGTTTGGACAAGGCCTTCCATCTAAAAAAAACGAACGAACCAATTATAAAGGAACAAACATTAATGTGGTTAATAATTTTACCTTCCGCCGCCGCTGCGCCGACCGCACTGTGTTGGAGCAATGCGTGAAGTATTCATGCAGTCTTGTAGGCGCTATGCGTTTCACGCCGACCGCTGCTGACCACACTGTTTGGCGCAATGCGTGAAGTATTCATGCAGTCTTGTAGGCGCTATGCGTTTCAAGCCGACCGCAGTGTGTTTGACGCAATGCGTCAAGTATTTATGCAGTCTTGTAGGCGCTATGCGTTTCATGCTGACCGCCTCGCCGCTCCGTTCCGGGTCAAATTGCGTGTTCGGTTTCTCTAACTCGACTAATTGAAGGTGTTGTCTCTTGTATCGCCGAGAGACGACAAAATTAGAAATTACTATACTTTTACTCTCAGGAAATGAGAGATTTTGTCGTCTCTTCTCGTTTGTAATTTATTTTCTGAATCTGGTTTTTTCTCTCTTTTTTTGATACATATTCAAAAAGATTGCAAAATTTGCCGCCCCCTACATTTTGCCGCCATGGGCCGCGGCCCATGTGGCCACTCCTTTAATCCGGCCCTGTGTGGCACTAAAACGTCCGAGCCCCCTAGCCAGACCGCCCCTGAGCCGTATGGAAATGAACAAGACCTTTTTAATATCACTGAAAATTAAATTTGTTAATTTTTAATCATCCGCAAGGTTTCTGAAAGTCGCAGTACTTTCCGCCCAGACGCAGCCGAGCCCATTCTCTCAAAACTTCATTTTTGCTCTTTCGGCTTTTCTCTATGAACGGCAGAATAGCGTGCATAAGACTGATTTCAGCGACGCAGAGAACCTTCACTGAGAGAGTATGGACATGTCGATTCTTAGAGCCCAAAAGGACGAAAACGTGTAAAACGAAATTAAATCACCAGAAAAGTGCCGCTGCGACCCTTTGCATTTGAAAGATAATCAATATGGCCGACCATTGTAAAAAACCGTCTTTAAGGATTAAGACTTTAAAACCGAGAAAATTTATGCGAGATTAAAGTTTTACGCGTGCTTTTATAATTTTGGATCAGTGTACCTACTCTCACAGGTAATAAGAATTGTGAAAAATTAGTACCACTGGATAATTCTCGTTCATGGGTTGACTGCCCTTTTGGGCCCCAAGAGAAACATGACCTGGTCAAACCTAACCTCCAAATTTTTGAAGTGCCCATACTCTCCCCATAAGGGTATTCTAAACAAAGCTCGGCCTTGCCCACGTTGCGCTTGGCAACGTGGGATGAGCGTTGTATCCCCGTTTAAACGGTTAATCCTCTTGGTTAATCTCTTTGCGGCGTGTCCCGATGCTTGTCCCGGGTCGCACAACCAATCAAAACCGGCACGCCATTCAGTCTCCGGCCCTTGACCGCCCCCCCTCCCGTCCCCTTCCCCCGAAACTCATTGAGCTTCCAAAACGCATCCCTCCTCCACCGGTCGGCCGGCTATTTTTGAGGATTGGGCTTTAATTGTCGCGCGGAAATGTTTACACTGCCGGGTCCGGCCATTAAGCAAGCAACTCGCCGCGGCCCGGGCCTTACGCCGCCGCTGATAGCTTTACCGTCGCGCTGATTGAATTTTGCGGTTTTTTGGCGCTTTGACCACCTCCGGTTCCCTGGGGCGGGGGAGGGGGCGGCACAGCTTTACGGAGCCGCGCTATCATGCGCTCCTGCCGCGTTTTTTGATACGCGTAGTTTTCCGTCGGTACCGTAAGCGTAAACATATTCGTTTTACGCTGAACGTATACTTACCAGAATCAACATATGAGTGAGAAATTGGTCGTAGTGCTGATGGTGAACGTTAGAAATTTAACTTTCCATCTACAAAAAAAAGAAAAAAGGAAAAGAAAGAGCAACACTAGCACAACCCTGATTGGCCATCGAAAATAATGTCATTATTCGATAAATGCGTTATTTTGGATTTTACAAGTAATAATAATAAAAAACTACCCAGCCTGAGACGCTGTATTTTTACCTTTGTCAAGGACAGTTCAGCACTTCGAGATAACTTTTTATCACATAGAACAATGGCATAGTTTAGTGACCAATTTGATGCGAGAAGCCTTGTTTCTAGCAAGGGAGGTTGAATTGACTAATACAGGAAACAATAATTCCTGAGGACACTCGGACACCATGACATCTGGGAATGAGTTTTCAAATTTTTCGTGTACCATTAATGGACGTATTTCTATCAAACGGACCTAAGCGCCATAGGGTGAGGAAGGTAGAGGGGGGCTTGGATTGGCGGCCGAATCGGGCGTCCGGCTTATTTCGTCCTATACTCGCAATGCTTTTCCATGGCGCTTAGGTCCGTTTGACAGAACGCGTTATCCGGGATTCTAAATTCCTCGAAAGGAACTCAAATTGGCGCTTAGTTCCGTTTGATAGAAATACGTCAAATTTAAGATTTTGATAAAGGAGCATGCGTTGAAGTGTTTCTTGCTTTTTGACCCTAACTAGTGGTCCATAGAGTACCTATATTGAGAGAGTATGGCCACTGGAGTTACCACCTCTGATTGGCTCAGCCATCTTAGGCTGAATGGAGCCCTTAGGACCCAAAAATGGCGAACGCCATAAAGTTAATGTAATGCAAAATGATTCAAAATGTAGTTGTCTTTGCTTATCGTAACGAGAACTTTACCCAAATGCACTATTGCGACTTTTTTACATATTTTTAAGGCTAATCGTGTGCAATTTTTGAGAAAAATGATCTTAGATGTAGTAAGGTTGGCAGCAAGTGCGGTTGGTGATAACCGTCAAAAGTTGGCAATGACCCCCCTCCCATCTTCAAAAACCAAAACAAAGCACCGCCATTTTTGGGTCCTAAGCCTCTCCATGGGGCCCAGTGGCCATACTCTCTTAATATAGGTACTCTAGTGGTCCGCTGCAATTTGGCTGACAACCTCTGAGCTCGGTTTTTGATTTGTTTGTTGCAGACGCTCCAGGTCTGAAAGACGTGGGGCACATCGAGTCCCTGCAGGAGAAGTCGCAGTGCGCCCTGGAGGAGTACTGCCGGACCCAGTACCCGAACCAGCCCAACAGATTCGGGCGACTTTTACTCCGGCTCCCGTCCCTCCGAACGGTGAGCTCGCAGGTCATCGAGCAGCTCTTCTTCGTGCGACTAGTCGGCAAAACGCCCATCGAGACCCTCATCAGGGACATGCTCCTCAGTGGCAGTAGTTTCAATTGGCCCTACGTCAACTCCATGTGACACCAAGTATGGAGGCAGCTCGCTTCCCCTTAGGCTTTAGCTCGTCCCCGACCGCAGACGAACCCTTAGTTTTCCCCAGTGGCGTGGCGTGAATAATCCATTATCGATATCTCGCCATTTAAAACTATGCTAAGGAATCGATTACTAAAGTGTTCGCTTCGAAAACCCTGATAATCGATCTTTTTTCATAGGTTTAAATATGGCATAACAATCGATTTATCGCAATTCACGCCACGCCACTGGTTTTCCCGCAAACTCACTTCATCATACATTGTTGAAAATCGAAGACAAATCGAGAGCCTTTTTTATTTATAATGAATAGATAATTTTTACCAGGCCGAAGTTTGGGTTCTTTGCGCCGGTGGATTATTCAAATACTGCAAAATATGGCAACGTTTCCAATCACACGGTTTTAATTTCAATGATTTTTCTTCTTACAATAATTGGAAATGCTGTTTTAAATTCAAACATCCAAGGCACAGATAAATTATGGGACACCGTAACTCACGATCAGACCAAAAAAAAACCTAAATTCCTACAATCTATGGAAAAAGAAAATATTAAGAAATCACGTCTGCTTCCTTTACGATACCGGTGATATCCATTTCATCATATTTTCCAGTCCAGTAAAATCTAAAATGTTATCGCCTGAACACTGTTACATTACATAGACGACTAAGCAAAGGGAGAGGTCTGAAAAATAGCGATCTGAACTGTTGTTCCGTGTCTGTATTTATTAATTTATTTTTATTTTTTTTTCTAGTTACCTCACTTGATGCTCATACATAGTTGCTAGGTTGTATGAAACAATTGCCCAATTTTTCTTGTGCTCAAGAAAAATTTTTGGCGTTTGATATTTTGTTCAATGTGACATTTACACCTCGCTAAACAACTTGCATTTCTCTTCGACATTTGATTAAAAGAAGAAAATAAGATAGGATTTTCTCATTTATTTCACGGGAGTTGAAGTTATGTGACACTTACAAAAATTGGGGCTTTAGGGCCGCGGTGTTGTTACTCATTTTAAACCGTAACTCTAATGTAAAGTAGAATTCCTTGAGAAAATTTTCATAATTAAAAGTTGCATTAGAACGCGGCAGCCTTTTGAAATTTAGTCCGTAGTCAAGGCTTCCCCTGAAATAAATGAGAGTGCAGAGTCAGGCACATGCTTTAAATTTTGAAAAATTGTCCTGTAAAAGTAAGCACAACGAAAAACATAGCAACGATTAGAACGAAAGCAAGAAGTAATTCAAAAGTACCCCACAAAATATGTAGCTACCTCTTCCTCAAAAGATTTTAATATTTTTAGGGTTTGAAATAAAAAAATACAAGACACTTGAAGTCATGCTCTAAATTGCCTTAAAAATCAAAACTTGATTAAAAACTAGAGAACAGTAAAAGTATGAGTCTTCTAGCTGTGGCCTGGAGGAATTTTTAATACCTGAAGTAGCATTTTCAGAATTTTTCTCAAGTCAACTTCAGGCAGCATAAAGGGGACACTGCGAACCTAGAATTACTGTGTTCTACATTTTGATAGTAGGTACGATACTTCTTAAACTGATGTGCTTACGAGAGGAGCTCAACATTTTTGAGGAGAAGTCAAGGTGTTAATGTACCTGTGCGTCTACGTAGCCAAAGAATCACTCTAAATTAAGGAAATTGAACATAAACTTTATAAAACTTAGCCTATGAATATTTCATTTTGTATTGAAAGTGTATAAATAATTAATCGTTGTGTAAAAAAGACATAGTCTCTTGAGTGAGCTTGAAACATTTCCCTATACCCCGTACCTTCATTGTATAATCTTATTCAGCTAGGATGACATGTTTGTGTTCATAATATCATCAAAGCATGTGGAATTTGTATGTATGTCACTGACAAATGTTCTACTTCTGAAATATGTCTAACAGTGATGATATTGTAAAAGTATGTTTGTCTCTGTGAGAACTCATTTCATATAAGTGGTAAAACCAACAGAATGTTCAGGTAATTAATTCAGAGTATAGTTAGGCATGAAAAGCATTTTATGAATTGTTTTGGAAAACAAATCGGGAGATTATTAAATGAGATTTTTCATTTCTCAATTTCATTAAATTAATGTGTTTTGGTCAGAATTCCAAAGGAAATGGCTATTTAAAAAAATTATAAAACATTAGGAAATAACATGCAAAAATGGCTCCGAGAAGAGCGAATTACACACATTTGAAAAGAAAAAACAACGTACTGTAAAAAATCCTCTCCTTCTCTCTACTTTTGACGCCCAATGAAAAAATTACTCGTTTCAAAACTCGGTTCAACACCATACTAGTGCCTTAGCTTAGTTTAAGAATATCAGGAACATTTTAATTATCAGATTTGTAATAAAATAAAACTTCTCCAGCATTAAATAATTAATGAGTATGGTGAGTGGGAAAAAACACAAGAAGGATTGAAAAATAATGTTAAATCTTTAATATACTTCTTTTCATACTGTTTTCATTCTTTTCAATCGTCAATTCGACGCATTCGAAGAGAAAATGTATTTTAGGCGAGCAAAATTATCTTCCTATCACCAATTCTTTCAAAATCGAGCATCCTCATGATTTTAGCACCAACATGTTACCTGTTTCTCAATGGTATACAGATAAAATTCACTGTAGGATAAAAGTTTCAAGGAAAAACTGTCCCCAGGTTTTATCAGGTTTGCTTTCTCTTTACAAAAACTTATATTTTTAATCATATTTTGGTTCTGTACTAGTCCGGGAGGTAGCTGTCATTTTGGTGTCCCGCTCCAAAATGGACAAATCGTTGAAAATCCACAGAGCTTTTCTCCCTGATCTCAAAACCCATTGTCGGCCCAAAGCAGACTTGCGGGCCGATTATTGAAATTGATAGACAAAGCTATAGACAAAGCTATAGACAAAGAATACATAGGGGGTATAAAGCAATCCTATTGGTTGAAATAGGTGGTTCTCATAGACTTACGGGGAAAATGATAGGCTAACTGTCGGATCTCTCGTGGGTTGCCGTTAGTTAGTCTATTACCTACCTCCTTTGTCCATTGCAACCACCCGCTTCTACCAATAGAATCCCTCCAAATCCTTGTTGTCTTCTTTGTCTATTGCTTTGTCTATCAATTTCAATAATCAGCCCGCTGGGGCGCTCTATCGTAGTGAAACCTCCGGGCAAACCTTCTGCAGCTGTGAAACAGCCCAGCTCCACTTAGGTCGACGACAGGTTTTCAGATCAGGAGAAAAAGTTACATTCAAAAAACGTTGTTGCCCTCATTTTGAGATGAGACATTTTTCCGGCATTTTCGTCACGTTTAGAGCTCTACTGGTGGTAGAAAGTTCCAGGTGCGGTTTGACAAAAAACAGGTTTTGATATCAGGGAAAAAAGCCCTGTCGATTTTCAAAAATTAATCCATTTTGAAAAGGAACACCAAAATGGCAGGAACCGTAAGGACTATAAGGTAAACTCCTTTAAAAAAAAGAAAAAGTGGACTAATGGTCATTTTCTTGATCGGCAAATGCTTAGTTATTTAAGTACATCCTGTCAAATATACGGTAATAATAACTTTCCTACAAAGATACTCTTCAGAATGATTAATAGAATATTATAGCTAGCAGGCAAATCAGAGACGATTATTTTTTTGCAACTCTGTTTTTACTTTATTTACAGTCATTATGTATAATCGATTCTAGGTGAGGTAGCCTACTTTTATCGATTATTTTACATGCATTTCCGTGGACAAAATCCAGTGTTGCCAACTTGCAAAAATCACCAATGAGACAAACACGAGTCATCTTGAATAATAATCAATGTCAATAATGTTGTTCACTGTAAAAATAGGTATTGTAAACGTTAGTCCGAATGTTTTTAGTTGATGATGATCAGTGAAAGATAATTTACTTGGAATAGAATTTTTTACTGTAAAATGTACATGTGTTTATAATTCATTTAGTTTATACTGTACAGATAGTGGTATTCATACATTTTTGATCGAAAACTGTGCATTCTTTTGAATTTTCGTTGTTTCCTTATTATTATTTTTTTTAAATATGTTAAATATAGACTGTTTGTATGAAAAAATATTTTACTTTTGCTACCGTTTTTTTCACGGCACCCTCACACCAAATGAATGGTGGTTTCCTATTTAAATCTAGCATGTATCATTATAGCATCACTCAAAAGTTTTCCAATTCAAAGAGTTTAAGGCTATAGGCCTTAGTTATTCAAGTATTTTCAATTTGAAAGTTTACTTTAACAGAAATTTCACTGTTTCGTTAAATTGAATAGAAAATTGCCAAGATTTTCCGGCAAAAAATGAATATAGTTTAGAAGTTGCATGGCGGATAAAATTCTAGGCTCACTGCATTCGTATCCGGTAAACTGCTACTATAAATGGACAGAGTTTAACAGAAAGGAACCACGCCACATCAGCTATTGCCAAATTTAACTGGGCAATTAATTTTTTTACGAGAGAATTTTTGTGCGGATTCCTGTACAATTTTTAGAGAATTTGCTTCAAACTATGGATAGTTTTCACTGAAATTTGCACAAAAATCCGCACAACCGTTTTCATGTAAAACATTAAATTGCTCAATTAAATTTGGCAATAGCTGATGTGGCTTGGTTCCTTTCTGTTTAACTCGGTCCAAATTACCAAAGCTAGCGTCGTTTCAACCAGTGGTGTGGCGCGCTTTGCGAGATATCGATTCATCTACCATTTCAACGTATATGGAAAAGGGTCGATAGTAGGGTGTTCGCAACTTTAATTATAGATTCCTTACCGTAGCCTCAAGTAGGGAAATATCAATAATCGTTGACGCCTCTGATTTCAACCCAAACCCTTTACCACCACATTGATGTTGACTGAGTACAAAGTACAGTCCGATCATGCTGAAATCATTCTCACGACACAACTTATATGAATCTGTCAATCAGACTAATCTTAAACTAATATCGGTATCAGTTTAAACCGACTTTATTAAAAATTCTTCCATATATTTTTAAATAGAACCTGAGTTGAAGGAGACACGCATTTTAACTGCTGAATGTACTATGAAAATTAAAGCGCTACGCATCGAAATTGTGAGCGAAATTCAGAGAGATATTATGATTTTGCTGCACATCGTTAGGCCGTGGGCCTTTTTAGCGCCTGACAGGCTGCGTGGTAGAGCGTAAAGTATCACGAGATAATGAAGGAGAGGTCCTATGTCAGTCCTTCATACAGGCAATCTAAAAGTCCCACATTATCCAGCTGTACCTAACTTGACAGCTAAAGTTTTGGATTGAATTTTTAGTAATGTTTTTAAGTCAAAGTGAACTACTTTTTGCCTACCAAAAATGTCGTAGAGCCCCCCCCCCCTCAATTTTATTACAAAAAAAGTTAAGGGAGAAATCAGGAGCGTAAACCTTACCTTTTTCCTTTTTAGAAGCAGCCCTTGTTTTTTAATCGATCGTCAGGAAAGGCATGAGAAAAATAAATAAGTAAAAATAAATGTGGAAAGTTCAGGTATAAGTTCAGGTAATATGATAATATATGCTCCGAATTATCGAGGAAATCAATAGTAATGATACTTTACCATGAAAAAGAAAAAAATTGTTATTAAGACTTCACGAATTACCGATTAAATAATTGAAATCACTGGATAAGTAAACAAAAGTAAAAAATCAGAAGAGATCAATTGAGTGCTCATGCTCAAGGTGTAGCACAAAGGAACGTGTCACAAAGTCGCAGAGAAAATCGGCCTGTAATGGTCGGAGAGGAAAGTGGTGAAAGGGTGGAAAGAAAAGCTGTGAAAAGGCAGGAGAAAAAGCGGGGTTGGAGTAAGACACTCTTGGGTGGTGTACACTATTAAAAATGTCTGAACACATCGCAGCCTGATTGTTGAAATTTTTTGTTTGTCGGGTAGACATAGATGACATAGGTTGAAAGGCGGAGCATGATTGGTCGGCTATCTCTTATCACTGCTTTATTTTGTTATTTAAGTTTTATTTTGAATCTTAGAACACGCTCCTACAGTCTGGCCGTTTTACGCTGAATCACCCTGTGTAAACTGATCACCTAAACAAGTTTTATCTGTACTCCTAACAAGCTATAAATTCAAGACGAAAATTACCTTTGAAAATTTACATTTTTGCACCAGTTCAGTATTTTGTCGCATAAACTTTCAGTTGCACAATCCTAGCAACATTGGAATGCTCTTGGTTCATTTTTGCAAAATGCAATCCAAATGTAGTCTTCAGGTTATCCTTCAGCTTTGCCGTATAGGCAACATACATACCGCTGAGCGTGAATAGTTTTTTTATTCTAAAAGCACACAATCATATCACCAGTCTATGAGCTCTGGTCGAACTGAGAAACGGTACTGTTCACCCATCGGTAGCTATCGTTCTTGACGGCGGCATGCCTTACTTATCACATTTTCTAACATCATGTGAATTTCTTGAAGTTCCACTCTTTTATAAGTAATATTTAATTACTCCTACCAACAAAATTGCAATCTGAATATTATCAGCTTGTGTGAATTACGAATTTATTGGATTGATTCGATAGTTTTCCTTTTTTTTTTATTTGTTGTCTTAAAAATAATTATTCTAATGAACCAGTAAAGGTTCCATAGACTATATTTCTTTTAGAGGCTATGAAGTGATACTTATTTTGAGGTCAATCAAATGCATCTATAAAAATGCAGGAGCAAAGGAAGAATCACTGCTGGCTGGAAACAACGAGAGCACTTGTCAATTTTTTACTTTCTCGTTTTTCCCTAATTCAAACTTTTTAAAAAATGTCGTTTTTTCTTCCATCTTCTGGGTCCGTTTTTAGCTTTAGGGTGTCCCGCTAAACTACCCCTGACGGTTATCATTCAGTGGCGTGGCGTGCTTTGCGATTTATCGATTGATCTGTCATTTAAACCTATGAAAAAAGATCGATTATCAGGGTGTTCGCAGCGAACACCTTAGTAATCGATTCTTTACCATAGCTTCAAAAGGCGAGATATCGATAATCGATCATTCACGCCACGCCACTGTTATCATTCAATTGAAGAAATCCGGCACAGGCCAAGAAAATGCAAGAAAACTTTGATGAAAACCTACCGGACGTTTTGACGTGAAAAGGAAAATATTAGCTTGCATGGAAACTGGTAACACTCCAATTTACCTGCATATCATCTTAACATGTGCGGTGGTATTCAATTTCGAGTCGTATGAGACATACTGGCCATTCTAAGGAAAAACGTCGCATGAACATTCGAGAGTTGATATATTTCCTACGGTAAAATTTTTATTTTGGAGGAAAGTTATGAATATTTCATATTGATATGCTCAAATGATGTAGATCTAATTACGAAGAAAATTCTCCGAAAAATTGAACGGAAAATATTCAACATTTTTCCTGAAAATTCGTATTTGATCAAAGGAAATTTGGCAACTGACGAAGGTTCATACGGCGTTTTTCTTTAGCACAGCAGCATACGTATTTGTAGATATAATTTCAAATAGTTTTGATTAGTAAATTATTTATGGTAGATTGGTGAATACATTTATTTAAAGGTGCATCAACAGGACAAAATCGTTGAAGCCGTGGGAAACAGAAATCAATACAGTATGTCCAGAATGTCTATGAGAACGATGGAAGGAAAAGGGAGTTCATAAGTCTATTACTGAAGAGTCTATGCTTTCGTGAAAAAATATGTAAAAAACAGGAGCAATCCGAGCCTGAGACAGGTAAGGCGCGGAGACCCAGCGAAATTAAAAGAATCAATTAGATAGCGCTTAAAAACTATTTTAAAAAGCCCTAAATCTAATCACGTCCCGGCAGAGCGAGCCTAAATCAAAGAGCGAAAGCTTCGATTTTCGAAGGACTATAAATAACAGGAGCTCTTTGATAATCCACCGGGGAATACGACAAAAGAAAGCAGAAAAAAAGAAACGAAAACGTAATATGAAAACAATTAAAGATAAGAGTGGAATGAGCTCTTAGGTCCATGCACTGAAAGTAATGAGGGGCGGCGGGGGGAAGCGGGATTCCGACAGACCTCTCAAGACCTCGGAGAATTTTGCAATTTGAATTTCAAGTCCATTGAAAGGGAACTGCTGGTGAAAGAGAAGAAAAAAAGAACGGGGGGCGACCGGAGAGGGCGCGGAGGGGGACAAAGAAAGACATATGAGTTGGTGGCCTGTCAACAGAAGGCAGAAATAAAACACAGCAGTGATCGGGAGCAAGCTGTGGTAATTTATGGAGAGCGGTGTAATACATCGGCCGAGGCTACGAGACCCGTGCTTTACATGTCACCGTGGACAGCTCCTGGCTTACCCCCAAATTCCTTCTTACTTTGATTATCGATAAAATATGTGTCATTAGAAGGTGCCTACCGTAACTCAATTTCTTTTCAACTCTGCCATTCTTACATTCCTCCGCGCCCTCCCCTCCTCGCCCGCGCCGCCCCCAATCCCGTCGGAAACATTGTGCCGCCGTGTCTGTCCCTTCT